TGTGTGTGTGTGTGTGTGTGTGTGTGTGTGTGTGTGTGCTGGGGTACAGTCTGTTAATGTTTTGTCACAGAGCACAAATGTGTGTGTGTGTGTGTGTGCTGGTGTTTGTGTGGCTGATCTGGTTGTGTCGTATTGCCAGTGCGTCGGTTTCTCCCGACGCTGTGACACAGTTTGTACGACGTCATTCCGTGAAGATTCCATATCCTTGACTGAAACATTCCAAACCTGGACCAGGACCCTTGAAGCAGCTCAATCCTTACTGATATGACCAAGTGTCAAAAGACAAGACGTCATCGTCATCACGACATTCCAACTGTCACGACAGTGGACACACACACACACACACACACACCTGTGACCGTGTCATTATTGGGCTGCGCTGCGTTTAAATTTGAATTGTCTTTATCTATTGCAAGTTTTGAAAGCACTTTATAGCTCAGGACTAAGGTCACATGACGTGGTGGTAGGAGAGCGTCTTTACCTCATTTGGAACATGAGCTTCAGAAAAACAGAAGAAGAGAGACGTTAGCATGAAACGCTAACACCCACGTACGTCCAGACGCGACGCTCACTCTGCTGCATCCATGCTGTTTGTTAGACGACGCAGAAAAGGCGTGGCCCGGTGTGATGTCATCATCCGCTCCGTATGTTCCACGTGACGACTGTTTCACAAAGATGATACGATAATGGCAGGTCAACGAAAACCCAAATACTGTTTCTTTATGTAGAAAATCATCTTAAAATAAGAACCAAAATCTGAAGTGAAAACTGAACAGATCTTCTGACTTCAGACTTTTATTAAAGTGGATGTAGAAAATCTTATGTTCTCATTCTAACGAAACAGGACGCTGCCCCCTGCAGGCTTTACAGTGAGTGTACCTCAGTCTTTTAGGGATGTGATGTAGTTTCTCGTCACTTTTGGAATCAGGGTAAAAGTTCTGACCTGGTTTTACCAGATCAGACCTGGGCAAACTATGGCCCGTGGGCCAGAGACAGCCCACTGAAAACCACTCAAAAACTCCTTCCAGATATTTAGGTGTTAGGTTTTTTCCACTGAAAACCACTCAAAAACTCCTTCTAGATATTTAGTTGTTAGGTTTTTTTTTTCGTTTTCTTGACACATTAGAAACACTAATATTCAAAAATGTTTTCACTAATCTTTTAATTTTTTTTAGTGCCATATTTTTCAACCTTCTGTGTCTCTTTTAGCTTTGCCGTAAAACGGGGCAAAATAAAAGGAAGGAAAATCCCAAACAAATTAAAGCAGTTTGTTCTCTTAGATATTTTAGTCGTAAAAGGGAGTGCTCTTTGAAAAAAGGGTTAGTGAGTTAGAGTTTTTGGTGGACAGTGTAAATGTGAAACGTTACGCAGACGACTCTGTTTTAGTTTTCCAACAAGCGCTAACAATGAAGCTAACACTGAAGCTAACCTGGTGTTGGCGACTCACGACATGAAGCTCTTTGTGAAACAGCCCGTCAGCGCTGAAAGACCTCAGATGTTTGTGGGACCAGACTCCTCACTCTGAGTCTTCCTCACCTCCTCCGACCTCCTCCTTTGTCACTGCAGCCATAGCGGAGCCTCCGCCCGCCGTTAACCCCACGCTCGGTGTCATCACTCCTCTCGTTAAAAAAAAAAGAAAAAAAAAAGAAAGAACCACACGCACACACACCTGCTTGCAGATTAGTATTCTGTGGGAACGCTGAGCAACATTTTAGCTGTTTGGTGTTAACTGTGATCAACGACAACCACTCGCTGTCAACGTTGTTGTTGTTTTTTCTTTTTTCTTACCTGTGTGTTCTGTTTCTACTTATGAAAAGCCCGATGGATCTTCTCTTTGTGTTGACAGGACAATGTAATCTATTGGTGTTGATTAAAAATGCCCTGGTAGCTCGTGGATTGCTAACGTGGTCAGATAAATGTACTGTATAGCTGTACAAAGAGTGATAAAGATGTTTTAACCCTTTCCTTTCTGTTGGTACAGCACTGTTGAAAAAAAGAAAAGAAAAAAAAATCAAAGGTGTTTTTGAGCCCTTGCCTGTTTGAACCTCTCATTTGGTGGTGGTCCGTTCACTTCTATTGTTATTTATATGATTTCAGTTGTTGCCTCTCCTGCACCGAGGACAGGCGGTAGCTCTGTGTGCAGGGGCTCGTACTGTAAACCTGTGTGAAGCTTTGTATTTGCCTCTGGTTTTTTGACTCAGTGAAAGTGTGATGTTTACATGTACAGTTTTTCAGAATACTTTTCCTCATTTGGCGTCTCTTCCGGGCTGTTTGTTTCCCTCACCTTTGACCCCTGATCTGTGTGCATTTGCTCAGACAGTTGTTTTTTGGTTTTTTTTGTTTTTTCAATTTCATTTTATCGCATCGAGTCCAGACGCGACCTCTCTCTGACCTCTCAGTCACATGGTCAGACTGTGCCGTGATATCTGGTTGGTGATGCCTTCTAGCATTTGAATCCCAAGGAAATGGAGCACCACAACTTCTCAAAGTGGACCAGAAATGATTTATTTAGGATCACGAAGACTTTAATCAGCTGTTTAAAATCCTATTGTGGCCTAAAAGGAGAACAGGGGGGTGGGGGGTGGGGTGTAGCTACAGTTATTCTACTACATAAAGTGCTCATAATCTTTTACTATCCTGACCGGGACGTCAGGGAAACTCCTCGTCCTTGACCCGACAGGTGCCCTGAAGTGTACACTCTGACCTGTTGTCATATCTCCTTGGTAACCTGAAAGCCATTCCCCTCTCCTGGCCTTTGACGGGGAACCCATAAACCTCAGGAAATACTGAATCTCCAAGTTTAGTTTTTTTTTTCCACTGATTTCTTTGGAAATGAGATTAAAGTCGAAGAAGAAGAAAAGAAGAAAAAAAAAACATTAACATTTATACAAGATGTCTATTGTTTTGTACATTTATCATTGTGACTTAAAAGTGGAGCTTTTTTCAGTACCTGTGACTTAATATTTGGATTTTTTTTTTTGTTTTTTTTTTGGAGTGTTTATAAGTATGGATATTTATTATTCTATGTGAAACTACAAAAAGACAAAAGAACAAGGTTGAACCTGTTTCATTTGTATGTTTCATGCAAAACTGTCGGGGTGAGATCGTCTCTGCCTCTTACATATCACTAACGAGGGACTTGTGTTTGTTTGGAAATGGCGCTTTTTTTTTCAATGTTGCATCAAACGCTATGACAAAAACGTGAAAACAACAAAAAATATCATCAGTGATTTACCAACAGCAGAGATGCGAGGCTCCTCTCCTGAGATGTCAGTCATTGAATAAAATAGTGCGACGAGCTATCACCCTCACATCTCCTCTGTGCTTTATTTCACCACGTATGTCGCTGTTTCTGTGATCGCAGCTTTCAAAGATAAACATGACTCTACATCTTGCAGTGTGTTGTAGTGGCCACAAGAGGGCAGCAGAGATACGGGGAACGGAATGCCATCCCAGACGAGGCCCTGATGTCGGTGAGGTCCTGAGCTGTGGACGAATAAACACACACACATTTTTATATTTATGTTTTTTGAGTTCTTACTCTGAGCAAAATGCATTTTTAATAATTTAAATTAAAATATATATTTTGAGCTTAGTTTTTACCTTAACTCTAACTTGACTGTGACTCTGAACCGAACTACAAAATATATATTTAATTCTCAAAAACCCTCTCCATTCAGCAGGCTCTGCACGTTAATACGTGTTTGTGACCACAAGAGGGCAGCAGAGATATAGGGAGCAGAATTGCGAGTTTTGGGGGTTTTCTGAGCACTGTTCTAATATTCATACAATCAGGTAAAATAATAAATAATAATAATAAATAGATAATAATAATAAATAGAACGGTTTTCTATCAACGGGGGCTGCGGGGGTGCGTGTGTGACGTCATTGGCAGCAATGCTGTTGAAACCCAGTGAAATCTAACAGGTGTTTCTTTTTCTTCATTCTCACGAGCCCTGAAAAAAAAAAACAAAAAAAAAACTCAAACCTGTTGACCTGTGACCTCACCGTTACCACAGCATTTTCCCCGGAACTGGGACTCACTGGTCACGCGTGGACCCAGAGCTGTCCACGGCTCGCCCTCATGCCGCAGATCAAATATAGACCTAGTGCCGGGTGGAACTTGACTTTGTGTCTACAGTACGGGCGTTTTGAACCGCGGATACGTGGAACTGGAACTCGACTGTCTATTTATATCCTGTGTTCTCGTTGTGTTCCACGGACATTAGACTGAGAAAATGAATCTCGTGACGTGTTCACGTTGTGCAGAGTTTGACGAGACAGATCCACAGTGACCTCTGCAGTCATTAAAAAATGACGGGACACTGCTGTGTCAGTGTGGGGCGATTCGGACTTGGCCTGAATAACGGGCCATTTTTAGACCCGTGAGTCTCACTGGTCTGTTGCCAGGAGCTGGACTTAGGAGGACAAGTAGGACAAGTAGGACAGGTGGGACAGGCGAGGCTTCCAGGCAGAAGGTGTAAAAACTCCAGTCATTTATCGGGGCTTTTTAAACACACGGGCTCTGAATGTTTGACTTCTGTCCTGGTCACCTCTGCAGCAGGACTGAACCCTGACCAGACTTTGTTCAGGCTATTTTTGGACATGTGTGTGTGTGTCCAATATTCCTTTCTTTTTCATGGAAAGGTCCATTTCAGATCAGAGGAGAGTTCACCAGAGGGTTAATTTAATCATCGATTTTTACAAACTTTGTTCTAGAAAATCCCAGAGTTTCATTTGTTTCATGACTTTAAACTGGAATTCTGTTTTTTTTGTTCTAGAAAATCCCAGAGTTTCATTTGCTTCATGACTTTACCATTGAAATGAGCAAAAATGAACAACATTGCTTCATCAATTAGAATGAATAGATGAACAGATGAAGATGGATGGGTTCAACATAGATGCTGAACTGTTGATAGAACTGATCGAAATAGAATGGAAATACGAAATATCTCTTTCTTCTCAGGCCTTGAAGACAAAACAAAGAAAATGAAATACTTAAATTTGTACAACATTGTGTCTGTTTTTATAAATATATAAACAGATACATACAGTATAAATATGTATTCATGTAATATGTATTTTTATAGGTATATACACACCTATAAAAATACACATTACATTACCTTTATGTAAATGTATATGTATAGATATATATTTACATATATACACACCTATAAAAGTACATATATTTATATATAAACAGACATAATGCTGTACACATGAACTCTTTTGTTTGTTCTTTAAACATACTGTACAAACAAACAGATTCCAGAACGTTCTTTAACAGGTTTCATTTCATTTCCGTCCTCATTCACAGCTTCGTTTTGTGCACGCGCTCATTAAAACAACCTGTTGTGACTTTTAGGAAAAACGCAGCACCGTTTTCCGTCAGCACGTGTTCGTATGTTTCCGCAGTTATTTAGCGTCTGCACTGATGTGACACGTGGAGGTCACATGTCTCCTGTTCTCCTCTACAGTTGTCTTCACACCTACTGTCCACGTGATGGTCCGTCCCTCTGGACTCTGTTGACCCACATTCACGGTTGTATGTGAATCAGCTTCATCGTGAACTGAACACGTTGTTAATAATTATATGAAAGCTGAAGAGATTAGATCTGTTTTGTCTGTTTATCTTTTTATTTCTAGGCCAATGTTGGAAAAACACGGCAGTGAAAAGAACTAGAATTTTGCAGAGGTGTACGCAATGACGATAACAAAACCTCAGCCTGGACTAAGAGCTTACAGATGTACCACAGTGTACGAAACAGAGCAGAACCGTCGTTAACGTCCCCTCAGACCATCACTATGTCCCACTGTTTCTGAGCAGGGACGTCATCGTTCCTTCTCCGTCGCTAACGTTTGTTATTGTCTGAAAAATGAAGGTTTATAGGGTTCATAAATGAACGCTGAACTCAACACTGCCCCCAGTGGATGTCAGCATAACAACCATGCCAAACGTAAGAAGTACGTAGGCCGAGCCTTTCCCAGTGTAGTGAGACACTTCATATGTGAAGGTAGAATAAAATACATTATTAATTATAAAAAACACCACACTGTAAATACAGTCTTCAAATATTTTATTTTTCATTGATAATACTGTCAAAGTACAAGTGGAATAAATGGAAAAAAAACTTTTTATACATTTAATTTTTTTTTTGGTCATAATATAACATAGATATTACAATACATTATACACAGGCAAAAAAAAAAAAGCAAACTATTTAAAAATTCTACAAAAAAAACCCCCGTCATCTCCATCATCATGTCCATCTCCATGGGCTGGACCATGTGACGGCAAGACGAGGGGGGGGGGGACGGGTCTAGGAGGAGGTGGAGGAAGTGGACGAAGCGTTCAAAGGTTCAGATACTCCACTCTCACTGGTTTCGCTGGCTTGTCTCTTCAGAGCCATCTCTCTGGCGATGCAGGTCACCTGACCGTTGGTCACCGTGTAGGTTCCATTCCTGCGACACAAACGGAAGAAAGATTCTCAAGTTAGCGCTCAGGACGAGGAGGGAAAGAAACGAACGGCTGACGAAAAACACTCACCTGTGGCTGTCAGCGCCGTTCTGCACGGCCGGCTGGTTCGGTTTGGCAAAGAAAAACGAAGTCCACCAGTGACCAGAGTCCTGCCTTGGAAGTCCTGTAGGGGGCAGAAGTACTTGAAACCACTGTGCTTTTGGTGCCGGGATACTTTTTTAAATATGAAACTTGCTATAACCTGGATGATGGGGAATGACCTCTCCTGAGTATTCAGCACTGCCACACGAGCTGCTGCTGGAGGCGGAGCCCAGACGTCCTGGAACACAGACACCAGGGACAAAATTAGAGACAAAAAATAATCCCTGCCCTAACGAGCCAAACAATCTGGACTGGTCTTCATCTCTGTTAGCTCAACCTTCTCCTGCACCAACATCACTCATTTTCACAGCGTGCGATGGATTTTAAGAATGCATTAGCACCACCTAGTGGGCTGGAGTGTGCATCATCAAATCCATACGAAGGGGCGGGTGCGACTTACTTCTATAATAATCGTGGGTGGCGATGAGGGAACCTCCTGATGGAATGGCTGCCATTTTTTTCCAACTTTAAATAGCGTGGAGATGGAGGTTGGTAACCTGAGGGCAGATTAAAAAAAGAGCCAAGGTGAGTGTGTGTGTGTGTGTGTGTGTGTGAGGAGAATGTGTCCACATGTCCAGCTGAATCAGATTAGTCAGTGCATGAGCCGGCTGCGTGACCACAGAGGCCAATGGCTGCACAGTGTTCCCAGTGTTCTTAAACTGCTGACGGTTCTTCCGCTCATGGCTAAGATCGGCCTGCTGTTCGGGCGGTGTAATTACACCCTTCATGAGTCAATAGGCACTGGCATGGATTTGTCAAATGTGGTTTGGGATTTAATCTCAAATCTTCAGTACTGTAATGTAATGTTTTCTGCTCCTACATGTCAGTTCACGGAACTATTTAAATCCCTGCTCGATATTTTCAACCGTATATATTTGTTTCCAATTTCACCTTCTTAATATGATGAGATTAGATTAGATTAGATTAAAAAAGATTTAAATTCAACTGTCAGATTTCTACAGTTCAAACCGTGAACAACTATTAAGTTCATTAAATGCCACTGGGACATTTTGAGAGTAAAGTGTAAACATGTTATTGTTGTTGTTGACAGTGAACAGAGCTCTGTTTTTAAAGATTATTTTGACAAAAATATGACATTTAAGACCGTGATTCTGTTTCTGTTTTGGCATTTTGCAACATTTCCCTGGACCATCTGGTTCGGTGAGTGTGAAAACAAATGTCGGTTGCAGCCCCATGTTTACGTCGTCGGTCCCACTGTGTTATTTCACTCCCACTCCAGACCGTTCTGTTCTCCAACCAAATCGAACACATTTAATGTGCTTTAAAAAAAAAAACTCCAACCAAATCGAACACATTTAATGTGATTTAAAAAAAAACTGCTGAAAAACCTGATTCGAACTGTAATGCACTTTTCCCCACAAACTATCATTTACATTTTTTAAATTATTATTATTATCGTGTGTTGTTTCTAACCTGTGACTGTTTATTGCATGACATTTACATTTCATTTTAAACCTGTTTACGGTAACGTGGGTTCGCGTTTGTTTTTTCTAAATGTTGACACGAGAGCAATGTAAGATAAATAATTTAAATTTAAAACTAAACCCACACCCGGTGGACAACATCAGAACTGCTGTAATGTAACGTACTCACCTTAAAGATTCAGACGTTGTTGTCGTCAACTGCCGCGGTAACAAATGTTCAGCTGTTTTCAGGTTCTACTCGTTTCTGGACCCATCTATTGACTCGGTCTCCCTGGTGCCCCTTTACTACTGGAACTACGGTAGTGAAGCTGTCGCTGCTGTCGCTGCTGCTGCTGCTGCTGCTCGGACTCAGGATAACCGCGCACACGTTCATATAAGACCCCAGGCTCGTGCTCCGTTGATAAGTGGGCGGAGCGATGTCCTCGTTTTTTTCAGCGAGGAACAACATGGCGAACCCACGTGGTTACCCATCCGCCAATCAGAAAGCTCAAATAAAGGATATTTTGGGCACGACGTTTTCAGCAACACCCAAATTCAACTCTCACCTACATTTAGTCGTAACTTCTAGAACAACCTGGGTTGGATGACTTTCATTAGACATTTAACCGATATAAAAAGTCACAAATCACAAATATACAATATATTGGCAACAGGTTCAACTATTAATCTTTTTATTCCGGAAGTTTCCGCCCCTAAAGTAGTAATACCACAATTATTTAATGTTGGATTTGTTCCTGAAAGTGTACAACCATGCAGTAATCACAAAATATTTAAAAGGTTTATAGACCTGTGTTCACGATCGAGTACTTTTATTTTCACGTAAACAGGAAGTATCTGGTTTGAGATTTGAGCCACTAGATGGCAGTAGTACAATCGAAAAGGATACAGCTTTCAGCCCGTGGAAGAGTTGCTAAGATTAGCTTAGCCTAGCTAAGCTCAAGAAGAAGGTCACTTTTGTGAGTAATACATCGCCCATCTAACGTTTTTGTTGTGACATGTTGTTTGAACGCATTTAGGGGAAATTGTAGAGATTTATTTTCTAATTTAGGCTTTGCTGCCGGCTCAGAAATGTTTGTTTTCAGGTTAAACTCTTAACAACAGCAGGTAAACTTTGTCAATACAAACCAATACAGGTCGTTATTTTCGTGAACAATATCTGACATAGTTCGATTATATATATTATATAAAATGTGAAGCTAGGCAGCTACATGCTCTATGTGTTCAAACTGGTCAGTTGTCCAGCTAATACATTTAATTTCATAAAGTTTTAGTGCCTGAAATGAATAATGTGTTACTGTGTCAAGGTTCAAATAACTTGAGGTAAAGACCTGCTGGGAAGCCTGCTGGTTGTGAGCCAACATGTTGTTGCGGCCCTCGTGTGTCATGAACAGCTCATAACGTCTCACATTTCACAGTAAATTTCCAGCAGGTCGTGTGTTTTTTTTCTCTCCACGTGCTTCTTAACTCCTACTTGTTGCTGATGTTTTTTCCTTTTTTTGCCAAGATAACTTAAGTTGTTTTGGTGTGTTGTTACCAACATGACGACTTTTACTATCTGTTACTGGTTAGCAAAGTCAACAATGTCTGAATAAATGTGTAACTCAAACAGGTCAGAGTTCTGAACTGAATGTTCTCAGTCAGGTTTAACTTTAGAGGCAGGAGTTTGGTTAGTTATTTTTGTCTGTTTAGTTTGTTGGATTATTGATGGAAGTACTGATGAAGAAACTTAATTAAAACCAGCAGTGTGTAACATCCAATGATTTTAATGTTTTTGTTTTTTTTTTGTCGTTGTTCTGCCTCGGTGCAGTCTTCTTACGTTGAATTGACGTAACATCTGCCTCAGTCCGTCCTTGGTTTCTTTTTTTATTTCCAACTCCGTGATGGAACCTTGGATTTTGGAGTCTGTTGTTGTGCGATAGTTGTGAAGATTTTATGCATAATCTTAATTCAAGGGTAAAATGTTTGTATATATAATAACATATTATTATATTATCTGCTGTGAAGGTTGATGTATAAACCTTTTCCTTACGAATTATCATTTTTGGGAGGCTTTAAAGAGGATTTCTTTTCACTTGTGTTTTTGCAGTATCAGTGTGTCACTCTTCTGTTCTTTCGTGCAGTTTATGCTCAAATGCAGTACAATATATATAAAAATATAATATATTTATGTATATATATTTGTAAGTTTGGAATTAAAACAATTATACGGAATTCAGGGAATACGTAATTATGTACCTAGCACCACCTGCAGGCCAGGGAGAGGATTTGCTCCATCTTTAATACAGTAAATAGCTACAGTCATATAATTACACGACTCTAGCACCATCTAACGGCCATATGGTATCCATAAACTAAATGACATTCAAAAGTATTACTTTTTTACATAACTAGTCATCACAAAAATATTTATTGTTAAATACAGAAACTAAACATCACATTGTAAAAATACAAAACAACTGCATTTACATTAGACATATCAGTATTTACTTTTTTTTTAAAGTAAATATTATTCACAGTATTTCTGTTAAATGTACTTGTCTAAAAACTTGAAAAGCTGATGAATTGTCAGTTATAAAAGTTAACAGTAATAACCTCTGATCACATTATACTATGTTTTCACTAACACTTTGTAGGAAAACTACACACGTTCACATCCAGGGGAGACGAGGAACATTCTCGACTTTACTCGATATCAAAGTCGTCTGCTTTAGACTGGGATTTTCTCATGAGCTGCGGTGAGACGTGCGTTCAAAAACAGACGTGTCTCCGTTGCTGGTCAGACCGCCAGACACTTTGTCCTGTTCAAACATCAGACACGTGACAGACCGCTCTGCAGGAGGGGATTTGTTTACGGTAAATATCTGTTAGACTCACCTTCACGTTGCCGACCATCTCCTCAAACGACTTAAAAGTTGAAGAGTGTCTGCAGGAACATTTGTAAAGACCGACTTAAAAGTTGAAGAGTGTCTGCAGAAACATTTGTAAAGACTAAATCACTGTAGCTAGTTGTAGCTTAGCATTAGCAGGCTAGGTCCAGTTCTTACAGGTGAACCTGAGTGACAGCAGTAACTAATGTGAGTTCAGAGTCAGTCAGTGATTTACCTCATGGACGGCACACTGATGGAATGGCTGTGAGGAAACAGACATGTAGACAAATCAAACTTTTTTTGTTTTTCACAGTAATGAAGTAAAAATACTCTGGTACATGATATATGAGAATGGAAAATCATTTTGATTCAGTTTTCAAGTTACAGAGAAAGTTCTTCTTTCACCTGGTCTGTGTCAGGGAGAGCCAACTTTAATACATCGTCCTCTTTATAGTATTTACTTATTTTTGTTGTTTGTTGTGAGTTTTCGTTGTCGACTTTAACTTTTAGCTCAGGTTGCAGTTGAGTTTTAGCCAAATCTTAAAGTTCTTACCGTGGTGGGCTGGGCAGAGGCAGAGCTCTGAAGGGTCCGCAGCAGGAAAGGGAAAAAAAAGGAGTCAAGAGAGAAAACATCAAAATCACAGCAGCTTCTGCCCCCTGGTGGAGGAGCACAACAAAGATAACAGAGATATGCAGCTAATGTACAGTTGGAATTAAAGTTGATTCAATGAACCAGCAAAGCAAGAAATGTTTATACATTTTTTTTAATATGGTATTTAGCTGATAATAAAAATGATCAGTAAATAATTATAATTCATGTTTTCACAGAAAATCCTGTGCGACAGTTAACTCCTCGTTGACAGGAAACTGAATATCAAAACCAAACATTTTAATGTGTTCATGTGTTTACGGTACATGTTAAGTCTACTGTAGTAACAATATTTAGGACTTTTACATTTTTACTCTTGACTTTTTTTCCTACTTTCTGTCACTTCCTTTAACTCCCCACTGTAAAATTCATTTAACCCTCATTTACCAAAAATCAAAAGCTTCAAATTAAATAATTCTTATCAATAAATTTTGCGTTCGTCTGCGTACGTTTGAAGCTGCTTCTGGGACTTTTTCTGAGTTCCCACCACACGGGCATCTCACTAAAGAAAACTAATTTAACAGGACTCACCTCATCTCTGCCAACCTTCTGGTGATGGCCACACCCACACTGGACAGGGCAGAAGACGCCACCTGACCAGCGTGAGACAGGCTGTCCCGTGTCCTCACATGTCTACGTACATAAAAAAAAAAAACACGAAAGAGAAAAGTCAGGATTCTGTAAACTCAGTCCCCAAATTTTTTAGGTGCCCCTAAGGGTGTCCTGCCCCCAACTTTGGGAACCACTGCACTAAGATGCTAAGAAGTACATGTATGTAACACATGTATGACACTGAACAACAACAACTGTCTCACGCGTCACTGGCTCCAGGTTGGTGCGGTAAACGCTGCAGCTCGTTGTGCTAAGTCTGACGGTAATGCTATTAGGCAGCTAACAATCCTGTTTAACCTGGAGAAGCTTATCATTGTTTCTCAGAATAGATCCATCCTTGGCACACGGACACATGTGTACCACAAAACTGTTGTCATATGTTTATGCATATATTTGTTTACACTCACAGAGTGGAGTGACGTATGTCGTCCAAAGTAGCGGAGGCTGAGAGATAGCTGGAAAAAAACAAAAACAAAAGAATCCGAAGTGAGTATGAGGAGGATCACAACAGCCGTTAAGTCCTTCGAGTGATTTCCTTGGTTATGTAACAGTGTCACACAGAGAGAGCGCGTGCCACATGTGTTTCTACTGCAGGATTAGGAATCCTTCATATTTAAACATAAACATCCAACTTGATGGTGGACTTACGGGGCTGATGTTTGGACTTCATGCCAGCCTTTGCTCATGTTTTGTTTGATGTTGCCCAGAGGACCCACTCCCAGCTGCCCCCTGAGGTCGGTGGCATATCTTTCTTTGTCCAAAAGCACCATCCGCAAGGTTTGAATTTCCTCCTCCGTCTGTGCCGGGGGGGTAAAAAAAATGCAATCAACAAACGACAGATGCTGTCGAAGGCATTCATTTCACTCTTAGTAAATGTCCAACGAACCTTTGCGAGTTCAAATCGCAGACAGTCGACATCGAGGTCTGTGAGTTCTGAGGGTGACCGTCCGTTGATGTTGTTGGAAGTCTGTGGTATTCTGCTGGTGAAGTTCCCAGATGCTGGAGCTGCACCAAAGCCTAACGACAATCATCGACACACGATCAATGACTACAGGACAGATGCAGTTACTTCTTAAACACACGTCAATGTAACGACTGCATTCATTATTTACACCAGACTAATAGAGAGTTCATTAGTTACAATGAGGATTTAGGGGAAGTCACGTCACACCCTGCTCCCCATATGTCCGTTAACCACCCTAATTATTCACGTTTCCTTCTAAAACTATTATAATTATTATGATAAACAACCTGACATCGACGCATAAATAAACACTCAGACAGAGATACGGTTAGGAAACACACGTGGGCGCTGTCCGTGGTGCTGTTTGTCACTGCCTCTGTCCACTTCATGCTAACTGCTAACCTGTTGCACACGCAGCCACCGTTTGTTGTTGTCGTTGTTCTGATTCATCGTGTTAAAATACCGAAAATACCAGTAAAATAAAAAACTTTTTTAACGGTTCGACACCGATATCGCGGAGGTGATACAGTTTTACCTGGTCGGTTCATCGCTGCCTCTCTGCGGTGCTCAGTAACGCCGGTGTCCGCGTGTCTCCATCCGCTCAGCTCAGAGAAGTCAGGACCAGTCAGGATCACGGCGGCTAGTATTAGGACTGATGCTCACGTGCACGCGCACACGCACGTACACTTTCCCCTGTGCTATTTCTGTTTGGACTTTAACTAGTTCACCGTGCAGTTCAAATAGCCACCGTGATGATAACTCCGAGGTTCTCAACGGGGGTCTCAGACCCCACGAGGGTCCCAAAATTAACTGTAGGGGTCGCCTAAAAACATATTTAACTGTCTTTAAATCTTTAAATCTATTGATTAAAATATTTAATGTGATTAATCGTAATCTAGTTGTGGATTATTCTTGTCTTCCACTCCCCACGCAAGGTTGCTTTTTTTTTTTTACTTATACCTACCCTTTTTTATCGGCAGGTGGCGCTACAAAGACAAAGCCTTTTTTCTTGTAAATCTTTTTGGTAAAAAGTTTTGTTTAAATATTTCACATTTACATTGAGTGCAATCATGTTATGTTAAGAAACAAGAGATTCAGGTTTTTGTTTAAATATTTCACATTTACATTGAGCACAATGATTGGGATTAGAAACAAAAGATTCAGGTTTTTGGGGTGTGTGAAAACATTTCTGTCCACCAGGGGGGGCATGACAGAAAATAATTGCAAACCGCTGCTCTAGTGTAACATTCAAACAGAAGACAAGTCCAAATGTTCATGAACATTTATTCACCAACAGCAAATCTGATCAATGATCCACGTGTTTTCTTCCAGACACACAGTAACCATGCTACAACATAAATCTTGAAGTTTATACTTTTTATATTTCGGCAGAGTGTATGTACAAGCGACCCTAAACCACTGAGCTGGAAGAATTCAATGATTACAAGAGAACACCATACCAGGAAATTTAGAGCCAATCATGGTCTGGAACATGACAAAACATGGAATAAATCAAATTCATAAATCAACCATTTCACTATAATTACACTATATTTACTATGTCGTTTTTTTGTGTCGTCAGTTCCTGATCATTGATCTGTTATTTTATTTTTTAATTTTTTTTTATTTAACACAGTGCATTCAACATTTACGTAGCATTTTTTTCAGTACCTCAATGAAGAAGCCATGACAGGAACATCTAAGTTTGATCAAAGGTCACAGGAAACATCATACAGGGGCCACAGAGGTCAACATCCATCCAATAGCAGAGGGTGGGCGACAGGAGCTCACCGTGTGTAAACCATTGAAACACGTCGTAGCGTTAATGAGACTGACGGAGATGGTCGTGGCCATTTATGGTCAGTTGCAAATGTACAGCAACGTTGTACAGCAGTGGACGAATCGGAAACACAAAGACCAACAAATATATATATCCACATGAACGCCCTACTCAGCTAAAATATCCCAGTAGTGATACTTTATAGTCAGGTTTATCTCTGAAAATAAATAGAGGCTGTTGATTTTTTTTTTTTTTTACACATTAAGACTCTACCGTCATCATCAACGCAGCTCTGATCAAGGCCAGCTGGACGAACACTGAAAGAAAATCCCTCATCGAGCGGCAAAGCGTTCGGATTAAAGAACGTCTTTCGTCGACCATCGCTAAAATATAAAAATAAATAAATAAATAGGCAGCACCAGCACGCAATTTCATTTCAGTGACTGAGAGACTGATATATGTATGGATGTATATATATTTTTTTGATAAATCTCAAACTATTGATTCTGGATATTTTTGTCAACGACTAACACAAAAACCTGACAAAAGACTAAAAGTAATGAACAAACAGAGCAGGGGAAAAAACCTTTTTAAATAAAAATATAATAATAACTGCAGATCAGAGCTGGAAATACACTACAATAAATTAGAATTATTTTCTTGGCATTAAACGAGGGCATCACTTCTTCACCTCCCTGAGCCAGGGCTCTGATTAATGAAGTTTCACACAGACTTTACACCCTCCTCCTCCTCCTCCTCTTCCTCCTCCTTCTTCTATATAATAATTAATTTGCTCTTATGAGCATATTGCACATTGTGTGAACTTCCATTTTGAGTCTTGCAAAGCAAAAATGCTGCAACGAATAACCTGACAATTGAAGACCATGTTTTATAAACAGCACATGCTACACTAATGCATAGGACGGGGGATTTGGGGGGAGGCAAAGAGGCAAAGAGGGAGGGAGCGAGCGAGAGTTTAAGACCAGGGTTTTTGAGGACGGTAAATACACAACAGAAAATTTAAAAAAAGAACAATTTGGCTTTTTCTTTTTTTCCTAGAGGGTTAAATGACTAAGGAAGTGTTTTTTTTGAGGGATGTGACTTCATTAGTTCCTCCGGGGGGCGGGGGGGGGGGGGGGCGGC